ATAGTTTCGAATTGAATATTTCAACTGATGTTTTTCCGCTATAACCCAAAGAACAAAAACTTTATCCAATAAACCACAAAAATATTTAGAAAACTAATTTCCCATCTTCAGTCTCCATCTCTCAATTTCAGCTATAAAGTCATTCGTAATATTGTATCTTATGCTCTTTCATTATATCTCGTATTATTATGAACCTTGAATTATTGTTTGTTTTCAGAAAAAGAAATAATGAAATTGAAATTAAGCGAGAAGAACGGGATTATTTTTGATCGACTCCATAGTAATAGATAGCAAATTTAATTGCAATGAAACTTACTGAAGGAAATAAATTGAATTGTCAAGGCACGTGCTAGCCTCAATTTAACAGGTTGGTGAAGAAGAAATTTGTTCAGCTAGTCTCAACTAAACTATTTTCAAAACAAAACAATAACAATTTATTGTAATCGGTAACCGATCTAATTCCAAAGTCAATTTCTAAGACACATATCTACATACTTCCTCGATTTATACGTGAGAGTTGACAATAATTTTACTAAATACCACAACTACTACTTCTTACGACTTCTGGTGGGTCTTATAATTCTACAGGAAACATTGAAAAACTCTCAGTCGAGATGGATATGAATGGTGGCAATAAGGATTATAAAAAAACAGAAAATGCTTTTATCTTTTCAATTTGGATTCTGCAGCTGATTTTGACACCATAATCCTTTTTAAAATGGATTATTCTGATCGAATGCTTCTTTCATTCCGAGAAAGTGTTGGATTCTTACAAACTCGACAATTTTAGATACAACGACTCCTTCTGAATAGGTTTTGATCAAAATTTTTTCAATACCGAATCAACAAGTCTTCAGACTTCTTCCTCTACGAACTACCACCATCAGGAGCATCCATTTCATATTTCTGTGGAACTTGAGTACCTTGGAAATATACTCGGAGTTTTGGACCTATTTGCTGATCAGTAATAAAAATAGTTGCTAATGACAACAACAGCAGCAACTGAAGAGTCAACGGATGATGCAAGCAAGCTCTCAAGACTTACCTACATACATTATCATTATCAAAGGTTCTCATTAAATTCAGTTTTCCAAACTGTCATGAAGCTGAGTTTATTTATCAATTCATAGATAGGTACCTACATTTATTTTGATGTCTAAGAAACATTCAATTACTTCCACGATCATTGTACTCAAGTATAAGAAGTAAGAACCCATCTAAATTGGTAATGATTATGACTCTTCATACTGAGTTCTGACAACTTACTCTTCATGCATCTTTCGGTTCTTCTCATTAGATGATGCCGGCTCATTTCATTTTAGGTTTCATTAATCTAGGTCATGGACCCTGCGAGATCGACCTAAAACCTTCATACACTATGGTAACCCCCCTCCACAGGTCGGGATGTGACCTCCTTTTGTAAGTATTTCCTCGAAATATCGATTCTTGCTGCATGGATCAGGATAATACGGCCAATGGCGGAACAAACTTTCTAAATGCATTATTTCATCAGGACTGTCTAGCTAGAGGTCGATAAAGTGAAGTTTTGGAGACTGTGGCTAAACAATCAAAATACCACTCTCGCTGGTAATTTCTGGAAGATAACCGGAAGATACTATAGAGTCAGCTATAATCTTTATATTCTTTCTTAATTGCCTGAATTCGTAAATAATTGGACCTTTCTAAGAATCATTATGGTATTTTGGGTTTATTTTTGTAGCTGATCTCTTAGTTATATCTTGCTTTACCAAGATAATTTAGTTAGCATTACATTTGTGAGGAAGATACCTAGGTATTTGGAGAATTGCGAACAGTTGTTCATAAAATATTAAATAATGAATTTGAATTTACATTTAATGACAAATTTACGATACATGAGATAAGTATGGCAATTACCTAGTTTTAGCATGGAAAGTTAAATGAATACCCTTATAAACTATTGTAGTACTATTAATAGCAGGTGGGTAATTCATCCAATTCAGAGATCGGTAAATTAGCTTCTCTGCAACAGATCCAAGGTGGGTAATTGCTAAGACAATCCACGTACATCAAACAGCTTTAGTCGAGGCTTTAGTTTCGCAATGAATTCATATCCTCTCTTAATAAATCTTATCTAATGCGTCAGCAGGCGTATACTGATAATTTTCAAGTTTTCCGATAAGAAAAAGTTGTGAATTTGAATCCGGTGACCAAGAGCAAGCGAACAAATATATATCTCGCACTATCAAATGCTTTTGAAATTCACGAACTAAATGCCTCATATCAACATATCCAAACCACCAACTCCTCCACCAAAAAGAAACCCTTCGGAAAAATCATACTTTTTAGCCCCTGTCACAGAGAATGAAGTAATGGATGTCATGAAATCCTTGAAATCTAATGAGACACCAGGTATAGATCGCATCAAAAGTGAAACATTCAAAGCAGTAGCCGAAGATCTGACTGGGCCAATCACACGTCTCATAAATATTATATTTGAAGAAGGATATTTTCCTATAGACGTAGACTCGTAGAGCTTAAAAATAGTGCCATCACACCTGCCTTCAAACAAGGTGGCCAGGATAAAATGATCAACTTTAGACCAATATCTATTATTACTTCCGTTACCAAAGTCATTGAAAGGGCCTTGAAAAATGAATTGGCGGACATATAAACAAAAACAGAATAATTTCGGGAAAACAGTACGGTTTTCGTGAGGAACTCTCAACAGGTTATTGAATGATAATTTATTGAAGAAATCTCCAATTCGGTTGATATCAGTAAACCGACCCTTTTTGTATCTCTTCTCCTTGCGAAAGCCTTCGACACAGTTAGTCAAGTACAACTACTGGAGGCTTCGGATGAGATTGGAATTAGAGGAGCAGCTTCAGCAGCTCATGGATTAGTAAAATATTATCTTAAGAATCGAACACATATTGTTAAAAAAGATAGTAGTTTCAGTTCACAAAAATTTATTAAATATGGTAAACCACAAGGCAGTGTCTTAGGCCCTTACTGGTTTCGATATATATGAATAATTTACTCACATCAAATAGTACAGGAACAATAATCAGTTTTGCAGATGACATTGCGATAATTTATACGGCGAAGACTTGGGACCTCGTACAAGAAAAAGTGGAAAAGAACTTGGTATTTATCCTTGATTGGCTAAGTCATATGACCTTAACGATGGACGTTGATAAGACGTACATCATACCGTTTTCTAGTTACAAGACGACAAATCTACCGAAATTCCATGAATTTACACTGTTTCATCATGGAAAAAATTTCGAAATCAAATGTAGATCGAAATTGTAAGATACTTACTCACATTACGATGGGAGGCCATATCGATCATATCACTAATACCCTCAGGCCTTTGCTCCACAAATTCATATTCCTGAGAAACATTTTAAATATCAACCAATTAAGGATCCTGTATTAGTCTTTTGTAGAATCAAGATTTCGATACGGAATTCTTCAGAAAAAAATACTGAAAATCATCTATAATAAAAGTATCCATCACATGATTTCTTCACGGAAACACAAATGATGGATACCAGACAAATCTATATGTATAACTCCATTATTTTACTTTATAAACACCATCCATAACTATGAAACAAAAAGCATAACTTATAATATAGGTAGTGCAAAAACAAAGAACAAAAAAATCGCTGGGAAAACGTTGCCATTCCTACCTAGCGAAAAAATATTACATTTTTTGCCAAAAATTTACAAAACATATCTAATGAGAATTCTTAGGCTCTCTTAAATATATGAACATTCATAAAACAATTATTAGACAGACAAACTGTTAGATCTCTTATCGACATAGAATGATTAAAATGTTAAACTAATTTAATAAAGCTTCTATAATTTTTATTAGATAAAGGTATCATATTAATAGGTATTATATCTTGGTCACCATATTCAACTAACATAATGTATATATCTAAGTATAGCAAGTGAAGATTATTCAAAGAAAATCTCTCCATGCACAACCACACTGGTTAAAATGGGGTACTTCGTTTAGTTCATAAACGAATATGTAAGACTACACCATAAAAAAATGTTAAAATTTGTTATGTGAATAACATTTTCATTATCATAACATCGGCTGAGCTTAATACTGTATTTTCAATCCAGCAAACACTGTGGATACCTATATGGATATCGAACGGAACAGTAGAATTTTTCATAAATTACCGTCGAAAAGTTTGAGACTCATATACATATGTTCGATCAACATCAGCAAGTTAATCTGGTACATATGGGTCTAGTTTTAATGTTTATAATTTGAACTGAATCATTTTCATATACATACTACCTATTTACTTACTACGAGTTTTGGTCGTATATATCGTATATAAATCGTGAGATAAAACCTGAATCGCTGCCGAATTACGTATTCAGACATTTCTAAATATTTTTGTTTTTTTCTTGGGCTCTTCTTCCTAGAAGCAGTCATTTGTTTCCATTAAAACTGCGGGACAGTGTATAAGAATTGAAGATACTTGATAAACCTAATAAATAAACTCGTTTTAGAGGTCTAATATGGTGAAAACAAGCTTCAGATCAACCTTAATGAATAAAGTACACTATAGAATTCTTGACACGAAAATGTAAAGATATTTAACCAATAGACCAGGCCATCTATAACGATTTACCCCGGAATAAAGCAATTTTCTCATACAGGCCCGTTTTTTTTTTCAGTTGGATCCACAATTTTTCCTGATAGTAAATAAAACCGAAAAAACGAATAGCTATAAATCTAGATTTAAACACTGATTTAATGCATATGAATTAATTCGTGCCAGCCCTGCTTTGAGCAATATGGACTTGTACCAAAGATGACACCTTGTATTACTATACGAATACTTCAAAAATCATATGCGTAACAGATCACAAACCTTCAAGGAATACCTATATACATATGAAACTCATTTTCAAGGCTAGTTTGTTATGAATGATGCATTCGAAAGGGGACGTCACTGACTTCAGGTATATTTGAGACTTACCTGAATATAAGCGAGGATATTTTGGTCGGAAGGCCTATCGGTGATGAGAAATTTGAATCCTTTGTATTCGATCTCTGCAGGAGCTGGTCTAATATCCTTTTGACGCATGGCTGCAATGTTTCCTTGTCCTTGGGTACTATGATTCATGCCCCGTTGACACACGAGTTTACTTGAATATCACAAAATTTTAGAAGACCGATCTTCAAGGATCCCCAAAAAGTAAATCAGTAAAAAAATCAAGAAACTTGTGATGGATAGTCAGTCTTTTAAAACAAATATATTGTTTTTTTTTTCGATTTTATTTACACTAGTTTGATATGCTTTAGCGAATTGAAAGTGAGAACGAAATCAAAAATTTAAATGGACAACTAGGTAATGGGATAACTCAAAAATGCATTAATGACTTTTCAGTGGTTTGGCTTCGGATGAGGTAAATCCAATGTTTCAACTGCTGCCAGTCAGTTCCTAAGGTATATCAATCGGCAATTGCCCCCTTTTAACAATTTATTTGTGTTGAGCTTGGCAATATTCTGCACTGTCCAAATGGAACTCCATGTATGCGAGCACTGTCTCACCAAAATACTGAAAAAAAAAATCAAATTAATTTCATTTCAAGTTATATGCTCTCTAATTTCGGTCCTTTACTAAAGATTTGTCAATGATCAGTATGTCATGAGAAGTTTCTCGTCTGGAATGCCTCAAGGTTCAATTTTGGGCGCCAGCTGTTATCTATATAGTACATAATCGTCAATACTCTTCACTATTATAGATGGTTGTCGATTAAGTAACAATATCAGGTTGCTTTAGAAAACTGAAGATTTTTGTTCTAAAATATTTCTTGTTACCTGTAGTCTTCCGCTCGAGGAATTTATAATTCCTTCTTCAATACAAAGACGTCAATATATCTGAAATCCTGGAACTATATATTTTCTTATCAGTCAATATCGTGGAATTTGCGAATGCAATTGATCAAGCAATTTTTATCAGGCGCCAGATGTCTGAAGCGTTGAATATTTTTTATCGATATAATATAAAAAGTCAATTCACTGATGAAAATCAGAGATTCAAATGAACGTATCATGGTCGTAAGTTATCTTGATAATAATTGACAATATTATCTATTATCTTTATGGGCTATGGTATCTGAGACTGGTGTCGTTGAAGAAGTTAGAAAATTACATGTTTCCAGTCTTTGCAGACTCATTAGCTAAAAATGGAATATGTTTACAAAAAAATGAAGCTATTATAAGGAAGCGAGGCGAGAATAGTCTGGTATACCGTAGTTCAAATATCAGTTTTCCTAATACTAGCACATATTTTTATAATATTAATGTTCTTTTGACCTAAATCACTTCTCTGTGAATATTGTCATTGAAAGTCGCAAAGAGCTGTCAGATGACAGTAGATAGTTAATCAAAAGTTGAGATAGGGACTTGTAAGCCGTTTTGACCAATAATGAATAGTTTCGACAAAAAAATTTCTAAAGTTGAAAAATGACGATTTTTCACACCCTATATCTCTGTAATCATTTCCGCTAGACCCCAAGTGTGATACATCGATGAAATCAGCTCTTCAGAGAGAATCTGAAAATGCAATAAAATACAGGGTGTTCCATTTAAAATAACAAAGTTGTTGTAACTTTTCTATAGAAGCGGCAACGCCGCAGAGCTGAAAATATTTTAGATCGATAGACCAATAGCAACTACGTGAGTAACCAAAATTTCAGAATGATCCTATGTCCCGTTCTCCATAAACGTCTAACGTACCATCGACCGTGAGTTACCCTGTATTTTATTACTGACCACCACAGTAAAGAGAGACGAACAAAATTAAATTTTTAGTATGGAATAATCGTCAAGAAAAAAATTAGCATGATAAATATACCTCTAACCAAACAGAATCAAATTTGAAATGGAAGAAGTACCTAATCAAGGTATGATGATGAAACGAATTGAAAAATTCGATAGTAATAACAATAAAAATAATATCGTTATTCCATGGTTCCTTATTTTTAGAATTCAAATTGTCTTCCAAATAAAACAAAACTGGACCAGTTATTAGAGCCCATTGTGTGAGTATGAAATAGCGTATTTGTGCTAAAAGTGCTAGTAATGTGTATTTGATATCGATATTAATTAGCATAGGTATGATCAGGTATTACATACGACCAAAGAAACCACTGCTGAAACCTGGATTATGCAATGATAATTCGAGTTATAGTAGTGTATTACAACAATGACCCTTCCATTGATTTGAATTGTTGCCAAACATAGATATGCGCTTTATAAATAAATTGGATGGAATATCCTCTCTCATCAATGTCACCTTCATTTGAGGGCACATTATTTTAGAAAGACAACCGATATCTCCATATACCGGCTATTCTATAATAAAATTGCTATTTATAACACAATTAAAATAAAGTGAGGCATAGCAATGGGTAATCGGAACATCACACCAAATCCAACACAAAAAAATTAAATTCAAACATGTTCAAACTAAGTATCATGCGAAGTTATGAAGGCCGCCATACAAGGTATTTATTTCAAATTACTCAGACTTGCAGTAAATCTTCTGTGAAGGAAAGGAAATATTAGTTTTTTACAATCAACACAAAGTTGCGGTTTCCATTAAATGTCACTATTTGACAGCATTTGCGCTCGTGATCCAAACTAATCACACAAAAAAAAATTCTCAAACCAAAAAAAAATGGCTCCACTCCCGATGCTCTCCAAGCATATGGTTTGCTTATATTTACTCAAATAATTATTTTCTCAGAAATTTTAGAATCGCGGAAAAATATGAAAACATATCTCGTTGAGATGAGTAGATTCGTAATAAAGCAATTTCTTTGAGTCAAGTAGGTATAAGACCCATGTATGATTGACATGTAATTTCCTTATTTTGATAATATAATAATATAAGTATGTTATTTTATGATACAGTAAATTCTGACTGGTAAATGACTCTATACTTGTAACAAATTGGTTTGAACCGAAGACATCGAATTATTTGAATAAAATATGAATCGGAGAGATGAAAGAAACCCCATCTGAACTAGGATGCATTGCGATGCTATCTTCGATCTTAGGAAGTAGTTACAGTACCTATAATGAAACTTGCTACAACTAATACATATAGTCGACCCAAATGAACATACCCATATCTGAGACTATATTTAGCCGTCCAAGCGATTTCAAATGGTGAGTTGGAGGAAAGGCCATGGGGTAAATCCTGATCGAGTAGATGTAGTCTATTGAAGAGTTTTTCTCATTTCAATGTTTCGGATGGAGAAAATGTTAAATGTATGTTGAATCAATAATATCGCAGAAGTAAAAATAATGATTTTAGAAGAGCAATATGCTCTTTTCTAGAATATCCATTCAGGGTAACAATAGTTATTTATACAAGGTAGTGAAAAATATAATTATTACCCAGGAACAAAGATTATACAGAGTGGGCCTTTGAAAACGACACAGAGGCTCTGTAGGTCGCCAAAACCGGATTATGAAAAGAATCTGAAACACGTCAACTACGTTTTCGAGGGGACATCGTCCTACAATATTTTCAGCCCTGCGGCGTTGCCGCTGCTAACGAAAAGAAGCAACAACTTTGTTATTTCAAATGAAACACCTTGTATTTCATTGCATTTCTAGATTCTCCCCGAAGAGCTGATTTCATCAATGCATCACACTTGGGGTCTAGCTGTAATGGTTTCAGGGATATAAAGTGTTCAAAATCGAGATTTTTCAACTTTGACATTTTTTTGTGTCGAAACTATTCATTATTGGTCGAAACGGCTCTCATGTCCCTATATCAACTTGTGATTTACTATCTACTGACATTTAATTGGAACAGATACAGGGTGATCAGAATTCTGAATCCTGAACCACCCTGTATTTGTTTCAAATAAATGTCAGTAGATAGTAAATCAGTTGAGATCGGGACATGAGAGCCGTTTTGACCAATAATGAATATTTTCGACACAAAAAAATGTTAAAGTTGAAAAATCTCGATTTTGAACACTTTATATCCCTGAAACCATTACAGCTAGACCCTAAGTGTTATGCATTGATGAAATCAGCTCTTCGGGGAGAATCTAAAAATGCAATAAAATACAAGGTGTTCCATTTGAAATAACAAAGTTGTTGCTTCTTTTCTTTAGAAGCGGCAACGCCGCAGGGCTGAAAATATTTTAGAAAGATGAAAGATGTCCCCCTCGAAAATGTAGTTGACCTGTTTCAGTTTTTTTTTGATAATCCGGTTTTGGCGACCTACCGAGCCTCTGTTTCGTTTTCAAAGGCCCACTCTGTATAAGGTCCCGTGGTAATAATATTCTTCACTACCAAGATGTATATTAAATTTTTTCACCACTAGCAATATATATTTTAATTATTATAGCTCTGTGAAATATGGACCTATTTTTATATATTATGTCGGCGTCAATTATTGAAATCTGTCATTCCCTGAAATGCCTAGTCATTTCATTTATTGTCGGCAAACAGCGTAACTTCCATTTTCAGCCGTCACTCTGTTTGCCGGAGGTTTGAGGAAGGAGAATATCCTTTCTGCATATGCATAAGATGGGAGACTATTTTTCCGCCTGAATGAACCTTCTTCCTAGAAAGTATATTTTTCAGAAAATTACTTGAAAGAACAGAAGAGACTACTGCTTCTAAACAACCTAAGCTGACTCGGCCTATATGAACCTTCCTTCCGTCATTACAGGAAATACCTGAAACTATTGGGCAAACGGTGTACGAAATTTAGAGTTACGCTGTTTGCCGGCAGTGCGTGAAATGACTAGGCATTCCAGAGAATGACGCATTTCACTGTTTGACGCCGACATGTATATGGTCATTATTGATAAATACCTACGAATCTTGCTATATTATTATGTCTTCATTCACTAGTATGAATGAAATGACGAAAACTACCTTGGTAAAAAAATACATTACGCCTTGAAAAAGAGTAAATAATTGTAGGTTCTATAGCTATTGGTGGAAAATAGTATATTGTTTAACGAGCACGGAATATTGGTCATTTCCCGCAAGAATGGAGTTTGCAGCATGAGCTGTAAGCGAATCTTTATCTTGATTCGATAAAAGTTCAATTTGCCTCACGTCGCACGGGAACTCATCTTTGTGTATCGCTAATTCTAACGTAACTGGTATCATAAGGTATTTCAACACCCCAACATATATACAATAATAACAACAAAAATGTTGCTATTTTGTGTTAATATCTGATTCATGAAAACTATGATTCTCAAAAAAACTCGATACATATTTGAAACAACAGAAAAAAAATATCTGGTATGAGTATTACAGGAGCACAGGAGAACAAAATAAAAAACCATATTCTGTAGAGGCTGTAAAAATCATTTGAAATGTCGTGTGGAAAGCAGGTAGTCGATATTGCAGGCTTGTTCTTCAGAGCTCACTACTGACGCCAATGATAAAAAAAGATTCGATTGATAGTAAAAAAACCGACATGGTTATAATTTGCACACCCCAATCACTCCTTATTTTCGAAACTTTGATTTTTACAAAAAAATTCACTACAATTTCCTAGATATCACGAACTTAGGAGGATACCTGAAACAACAAATCACCAAGTTATAATTGAGAGTTTGATATGTTCGCATTATTATCACCAGTGGTGTACTGAAACAACCCACGATACCAGTTAAGGGTTAAATTTGTATCCATCAAACGCACAAACGATTTCAGAGCTTCGCGAATGTTGCTATTTATACGAAGATAACTACTGATCTGAAATTACAATTACAATTATTATAATGTTTATTAATTATTTGATATTTGTTTGTATTACTTATTATTCATAAATATTTTGTTAATGATAATAGTAATAATAATTACCTATGGAACAGGTCTGGTGTTTACGCACAACTTTGATCTTTTGGACACAAGTAGAGATTGTTTATGAATGTATTCCATCATGTCTGTCTGAATAACAGTGGCATCAATTTTGTTCACGTGGTTTTCCGGAATTTTCACTTGTTTACATGTCACGGTCCAAACTCGCAGTTACAATTTTAGAAATTGAGTGAAGCAAATTATAATAATATGTACCTATATCGAGAGAACGCTTCGTCAGCATGTAATACAAGTTTACCGTTTCAAATTTTGGTTAGAAAAATAGAAAAGCCTCCAAAAAGCATTGAAAAGCTTCGTGAATGTTTGCTATTTATACGAACATTCGCTCAACCGTTAAGAAATCACAATTTTATAATGTTTATCTGATTGTATTATTTTTTATTTATGAATACTTTTGTTAATAGTAATAACCCATGAAACAGGTCTGGTGTTAACGCACAACTTTGTTTTTTTTTCATCGAGAGAATGCTTCGTCAGGATTTAAATACAAGTTCACTGTTTTAAATCTTGGTTGGAAAAATCGAAAAGTCTCCCAGGATGTCATCGTCTGAAAAAGTGTTACATAGTCATTCAACAAGGATCGAATCAGGGAACGACTAAACTGAGCAGAAATATAATATATATGAAGAAATGGTGGAATCGAGGAATGGAATGCAATGCACCCTTGTAATGAATTAGTTCAGTATCTTGCACATGAACATTTCAAGCGTAATTGGTTTGCTTCTCAATTTTCAACAGAAGTTTCTATTTTTGCATAATTCATTTCGTTTCTCTAAGAAATTTTGGTTTACCTACAATAAAGTAAGAGCTAATGTTACCAACTGCGTCCTTAAAAAGTAAATTCCTTTGAATAAAATTCAATGTCTCGAAGAATAATGTATGCATTCATAATTATTCATTCATTTCATTTAAATTATTTGATTACAATTTATTGAAATTCAAAATACTTAGTGACTTGATGAGAGCAATTGAAGATGGTCTCATAATAAATTAATTGAGCATATTACCTTCTATTCAAAAGTTAGTCATTTCTTCTATACCTATTCTGTAGCTCCTGTATTATTAATTTTTATGTCAATGATTAGAGAGGCGAAACATCAACTACATTCCTGAAATAACTTCATACAAACACACACACAAAACACACAAACTTCAATATTTATGAAGTTCATAGGTACACAGTTTTGATGTCACTCCGACTGGGAATGAAGAGAATCGATGAAACTATAAAATGCACGTCTACACGCAAAAGTTTGAATGGTTGAAGCTTCTCAGAAATGTACGCCAAGTTGCCTGAGCCTATAGTATACATTACACCAGCATTTAACTCGTATAAAACTGAAGTGAGGACTGAATTTTTCGTGGAACGTCATATGAAATAGATATAAATTGCGAATTGAGTTAATTGGCAATTGGTTATTAAGTACATGAAGGAAAGAGTAATAAACTTTAATGTAGGTATACCTAACTTGAATTACTTCGTCCTTGCTTGCTGCCACACCTGGCTACTTATGGTACCTAAATCGTCTGAAGATCTTGGAATATGAATTGTTTTTCCATAAATACATTGCTGGAATTTTGATAACTTCTGAGAAACATCATATATCTAATGCTAATTTGATTGGTTTTCCATATATCTTAAAATACAAAAATTGATTTCGATATCGATCGATCGAAAGTTAGTTCGAATTGCTTTTCCATATATCTTGAAATACAAAAATTTATATCGATATAGATCGATCGAAGATTAATTTGAATTACCAAAGAGGAACACGCACATCTATAACAGAATATGACTTTGTTTTATGAACGATTTTTCCACATTTTACGACTATATTATGTGGGTAACTCGAGGGATAGCCGCAAATTACACCCTTATTTTGACTGCAAGCTCAGTTTTGGTTGAAGAATCTGCAAATAACTAACGTGAGTGTAGTGAGCCAACTATATTAACTGAGATACTTCAGATATAAATAGTACATATTATTATAATAGCTAGGGTGTCCTTTAAACATCGGAAAACAGGAGTCTGACAGAACAGAGGACTTGAGAATTCTGAAGTCTTGCGAAAATTGTCTAGTCTGTATTATCAATTCTATTGTGAGACAGAATAAATTGGTTGACTTCCATTCCATTATTCACCACCCATCAGTAATATCAGTATTTATGAATTATGACAGCATCACACATGTTTTGACGCGTTGTGACTTCAAAATTGGGTAATGTTAATGTTAGCCTTGTATGACGAGTATAAGTGTTTGTTATTTTGCTAAAATGTGTTATCAACCACTGTAATTCATTGATATATGTACGATATGACTGTGTTGTTAACTTGAATGTTGGAGGGTTCAATGAACAAAAGATTTTGTACCCTATAGAAGGATGACACTAAATTTGATTCAGAAGTTTCATTATTCTGTAAAATGTATTATTGCTTTGTTCTCAAGCTATTGCAGTGAAAAAACTACAATATGGCGGAAGCTGTATATTATTATGCACCAGATGATACCAATAATAATTATTGTCAATGAATCCTGTCAGTTTCACCATCAGTTTCCAAATATCAAAAATCGAATCGAATTTTACGGCAACAAATTAACATTTTATGACATGATTTGATCAATAGTTTATTTTGATTGTAGAGTTTTCAATATTGTGATAAAAAATTCAACATAAATGGTATGAAAGTGATGTGTGAAGTATACTTAGTTATTTAAGCTCAGGTAATTATGATATCTTCGAATTCTCAATCAGGATTTGACGAGGATTTCAGTTGGTGTACAGGAGCATCAAAACTATTTGTTCAAAACGTGTAGGTATATGCTCGGGTATATGTATTTAAACATTAATATATTAGGTACTTATACAGAATAAGTATATGTATATAGACTAAACGTCGTAGGTAAGATTTTATAATTCGCACCTACGATAATATTTACCATTCATTAAAAATACTAATGTAATAACTGCGCCATGGTTATAAGTTCTTGGGAATAGTTCCATTGGCGAAGAATTCCAAAGCTTTGCCTTTCTAAGACGAAAGAATTTTGGTAAAGTGTTGTTCGACCTATTTCAAGGTTGACAACGACCGATGTGCTGACTGATGACTGAGCCTGTCGAGTTCATGTGACTGGTATTGCTAGTGATGGAATTATAGCAGCGATTCCTGAGGAACATTTCCCGTCGATGTGTCTATAGAAAAGTCTGAGGTCGCCGACTTTTCTACGGTGCATGTTCTAATGAGGTCAAAGGAATAGTGAGGGTGGCATCACTCACCAGGTGAATTACTCTTCTCTGGATGGAATTGAGGTATCGATTATCACATTTTCGATGATTTTTTCTTGATTTTCCCGTATCTCAAGACTTGTATGCGAATTTATAATGATATGCAGTAAATGTAGGTAGCATATCACATTATCATCATTCTATATTATCCGAAACTTTGAGTTTGTTAGGTGAATGCATGTTTGTCGACTGATTGTCACAGGGTCATTGACGAAGGTCAATCTTCATGGATAATCCAAACATGAATATTCACAATTACTCGAAAACATTGCGCCGGACGATGCATTTAATTTTTTTCGCGTTCTATCTCGTTGACTATATTGCCCATTGGCAATAGCTTTCAGCGAATTGTTTTGTACTGCAGTTGTAATCAGAACCCGCACTGTATTCGAAGTTTTTAGGTTTTGAATTTTACTGCAATGAATTGTTCAAGGGGGAGTCTGACTGATTGGAAGAATGAAAAACAAGAATTCTGTATATCAATCAAAGGATATATATTATACATGTCACCGAACCTGATTCACAGAGTATCTATATAATATAAACCCATATAAAAATTGCTCATGCATGCACGGAAATTAATATAAAGGTATAATCTCGAGTAAAATCTCTACATTAGAATTTCAAATTCAATAGAGAAGTGATTGAGAAGACTATATATATAAATTTTAAAACATAGGTAGCTGTAGGTATGATGCTTTCACGTAGATTATGATTATTTTATCCTTGTTTGAAAATGAACAAACTATTGGGAAGATATTTCGGTTCAGTTGAGAGTTGAGTCACAGCAAAAACCTTTATGGTCCAGAATATCACCTTGAGGCACTCCAAGAAAATGACGGGTGAAATTAGGGTGACCATAATAATCAATGATTTTTAAAACAAAAGTCACTTTTGATGTTAGCTTTTGCTTTATAGGAGATATGTGAAAGCTGATCGAAAGCTATGTGAAAGCAATTGTAGGAAATTTAATTGCGCTAGGTTTCAACAGATTGCACCACATATTGAAATCCCGAAGAAAAATAAAACCCTAATAAATAGGTATAGGCGAAGGTATATGTAGGTATAGTGATTTTAAGTACTTTCATGTTCTATTCAGCACTATGAATACACCAATGATGAAACTATAGGTAGTCAATGAACTTTTTTATGGTAGGAATATATATTTCGAGAATTAGGGTGTATTTTGGGTGAAATGGGCGATGTAAAGACAAATTAAATTTCGAAAAAAAAAAACTAACAAATTTAGTGGAACAGAAATACATTTAATCTACCAAATAAAATGCAACACAAAGCAGAGTATAGAAATAATGTATATTATATGGATGATGTGGGAATACCAACAATTATTGTACCTTGGTAGGTATAGGAAGGAGTCTAATTTCACTAGGTATCCAATATGAATAATTTTAAGTGAATACCGATACAAATAATTTTCATACAAATAATCCATCAAAGCCAACACAACCAAATAATAATGAAGTTATAGAAAATACCTAAAAATCGAATTGGACTGTTTTATAATCCCTGTCTACCTATATGAAATATGAGAACAAGAACAATCAAAATAATAAGTGCTTGAGTACAAACTGCATTATATTTACCTCTGTAGCCATACACATTGAAATTGCAATTGCCAGGATAACTTTTCAGATCCACAGAAACGTGGATAAAATTCACAACACTAAATATAGCACGAACGGTCCCTCCAAAGCTTGAAGCTTTAGAATATACTACAGGATGGTTCACTCACCAAGATGGTTCTGGTATTTCGATTGACGTCAGTTTACGTACCCCGCACCCCGCCTACAGCGTGTGACGATTACCAAAGCAACGTCATATCCCCCATCTCATTCTTATACGCTGTTATCTTGCTGTTATAAACCGGTTGTCCTCTGATTATTCTAACGTGGGGAGCGGAATTTGGATTGGAGTAATTCAGGCAACAAGCGATGCAGCACGTTGAATTGCTGGTTGCCAGCCTTTGCGCTTACTCTTACAAAAATCAATGAAACAATACAGGAAGGCCCATTCAATAGTGGAACACCCCCCTATAATCCGATTGAAGCGCGTATGATTTTATCCATTCTTAGACACATAGATTGACATTGTAATGAGTTCCTTCCATTATGGAAGAACAGTTTTTATCTACTTGGTAGAGTAGAGCAAGCCCAAACGAACCAGGCCTCACATGTCAGACTAATTAGGTAAAAATAAACTTCTAACTTCTAGCCATAGCACCATAACGAGGTAATATTGCGCTTATTGGCTCGCTGCTCGGGAGAAACTTGCAAAGTAACAAATATAAATATTTATCAAAATATTGTTGTGGAATGATACATAAAGATAAAGCAACTCCTTTCCTAGTTGATACCACGTATACATCCATCCATCGAAGAGGCCCTATCAATCAGAAGTTTTACAGGGTGATCCCTATAAAATCATGACACACCACAAATTGATAATTTATTCAAATGGAACACTAATTTTCATAATTATTATGTACATAAAATATTGAATCATATCTCAATCACTCCCTTATTATATAGATATCCTAATTATACATAAGGTATATACCTATAGGGTTCATGAGAACTATCACATGAAATTATTTCCATATCTACATGGTGTTCGAATTCCAATATATATCGTCTCTGATGATGAGTTTTTTCTAAATGGGACACCCTCTATATTTTATTATCATTGCATTTTTAGATTCTCCCTGAAGAGCTGATTACATATATATGAATTCAACACACTCAAAGGGTCTATAGAGGGAATGATTACAGAGATGAAGGGTGTTCAAAATTGAGATTTTTCAACTTATTTAGGATTTTTGTGTGTCCAAACGAGGTCAATCCAGCTTATATTTCCCTATCTTAAATTTTTATTCACTATATCTACTGATATTCAATTCGAACTACTATACGGTGTGGATAAATATATGACTGTCACCCTGATGCTGTATAATGAAAAAATCAATTCGTTCCTAGAAATAAATTATTACACGCTATAATTACCTACCTATGCAGAGTGATATCATTTGAAATTCTCTACGCACAAATATTTTCGCTATTTCAATGCAAAATGAAAAATAAGTAGATTTAATACTATGGAGCATAATACACTTTTAACTCATCCAGAATAATGTCAATAAAGAGTATCTTCTGGGCAATTTTAGCGCCAAAGCTTCTGGTTATTGCTTCTTAGCCATTGTTAGGTAACATATATAGTTCGTCCTTATGTCCAATATATGCGTATTTGTGTAAACAATTTTGCATGGACCAGTATAATAATAGTACTATCCATGGTCACTTTACTTAATGGAAACAGGACGATATGAATAATACTTTTTTTGCTGCCCTGTATTTTAACTTTCCTCTTTCCAGTGCTCGTCGAGTGAAAATTTCCCGAGCGATGACAATGAAAATATTGTCTCTCTGCTAATATCTGGACGTTTTTTCACGTTCCTCATCCTATAAGTAATCATGATGAAATTAGAGTGACTTAGTAGATACTAATCCAGTGACTATCTAGATGAAATAATCACCTCATTCTTTCTGTTCAGTATAGCTTTTTTCCATTCAATAAATTTTTCAAAAGATGGAAATTCAAGATTTTATTTAATTAACCAACGTTAAGTCATGTAAATTCTCCTAATGTTTCTCGAATATTTGTTCACTCGATCAAAATGTTTTTGCACAATGGGCACGTGGAATTATCTAATTTCTACATAGCATCCACAGATGATAGATGAATTGTTACATTTCTTTTTATGAACCGGCTCCAAAATGTTTGTCTAGCGTCGCAACGCTTCTCGCGCTCAGCGAGCCAGGCGCAATATTACCTCGCTATGGTGCTATGGCTAGACGCTAGTGTCAAAGCTGAATTATTTACTTCTATTAGTTGAATTATCTCGCTTACTTGTCAAGATATCGTTTTGAAATTCGGTGTGGGCAATACTTCTCAGAAGATGATCATTTCAAGCCATCTAAAGATTTTCAAAATCTACAGGGTGATACGTTTAGGGGGGTAGACGCTTCCTTATTCCCCCCAAACTTTTCCGTAATACGCCTCTGGCATCTTTCAGTGATCAAATTATGTGGATCGTTCAATTTAGAGGCTTTTTTGCTCTTCAAGTTTTCTCGAGAAACGAACCGTTTTTGAGACAAATAAGCATATACGTTCTAAATGTTAATTTTGCCTGTTTCACTTAAATTTTATTCAACTGAAAAAAAAAACTTGACTTTTTACCATCTGTATCCCCAACACTGATCCAGATTGGACTCGTGTTTGAAATTTTAGTGAGTACATTTCATTGCATTCTCAACGAAAATAAAATGTAAGCGAAACATAGGCAAAATTAACATGTTTTAGAAGGTACATGCTTATTTATCTCAAAACCGGTTTGTTTCTCGAAAAAAATGAAGAAGCGAAAAAGCCTGTAAATTGAACGAACCACACAATTTGATCAGTGAAAGTTGCCAGAGGCGTACTACGAAAAAGGTTGGGGGGGATAAAGAAGCCTCTACCCCCAAAAACGTATCTCCCTGTAGATTTTAAAAATCTTTAAATAGCTTTAAATGATGATCTTCTAGAAAGTATTGACCACACCAAATTTCAAAACGATATCTTGAAAAGTAAGCGAGATATTTCAATAGAAAAAATAATTAAACTTTGACCCCCTGTAGCTCCGCTAATAAACGAGATCAGACTTATGTTTATATAAACTTTTTTGATCAAAATGATGAAATGTATCTCCCATCTCAGTTGGTGCCTTAAAACCTGAATCACCCTGTATATAGAAGAAGGTGCGATTCCTTGACTTATTTTAGGGTTTGAAGTTCCTATAAACATTGTTCACCCTGTATAGCTTTTCGTGATGGAAAAATTTACTGTGACCAGCGAAAAGACATTAAACCGTCTGGTCGTCTCGATTTTCCTTTATTTTTTTTCTCTCGAAAATGGTCCGTCCTATCGAGTTTCAATCCATTTTTGAACAAAATTGAATGGCCTTTCTATTGTTAAAAATTTGTACATTCATTCACAAGATAGTACGTTCGCATCTCCACCGGAGCAAGCTTTTTTTTAATTTTCTTCCTTTTTTCTTCAATATACTAGGAATATTCTCAGAATATTTAAAACAGTCCATTCTGAATGTTCATAGAACGTCCCTAGAATATTCTGAGAATATTCAAATATTCTCGAAGAATATCCTATGGACGTTCTATGAATGACATTGTGCTATCTGGGTTTGAACTTTTTTGCTATTTTGATATACATCACATTCTCAGAACTCAAGAGATGTAGGCGTTAAAAATATAGATTATGTTTATTAAAAATCCTTGATATCTGGACATTTTTATTTCAAGGACGGTTCAACGCGTTCCAAGATATCAGGGTGTTTCAAATCGTTCAAACGGCACTGAAATAGTTGGAATTGGGATGAAGTTGCATAATTTGGTACTATTCCAGTGTGGTTAATTTCGACGTTTGGTCGACTAGTAAAAACTTTATTTGAAATGTACAATGAACATTTTATTCACCTATAAATTCATCTTCAATGAATTTCAGCAATACTTTATCTGAAAACAATTTGAATTGATGTCTGACATACAAATATATCTCATATAGAAAATACGAAGCAGAACAGTACATATAAAAATAGGAATAAATAACCCTTATGTACAAATCAACTTGAACTTCTCAAAATGTGAAACAAAAGATCTATCTTCTCTCAATAGTTTTCACCAGTTCTCCTCCTAAATTCCAGAAATCTTCGATCACAGCATCAACATTGAAAGTTATCTTATTACCAGTAAGTTTACCAGCATTCACATGGTTTGGTTTGAAATCCAATGTCTGATGTACCTGAGGATTCCATAATACACCTATTACACTTCCTCCATAACTGTCATGAAAGAAAACTGCATATTTTCCATAGTTTTCTCGCAATGTACTCAAATATTTTTCTACTGGGTCAAAACCAACAATTGGTATCTTATCATCTTCGGTGGTCTTGTATTTTTCTACGACTATTCTATTTGTTATGGTTGATAACACAAGGGCCTCGTGTATCCTAGTATTCAGCAAAGGTTGAATATGTATCACAACATTAAAACCATCCAAATTAGGTTTGAACATTTCTTTTATACTCATAGTGGCGCTGGGATCAAATACCACCCTACTCATACAATCTACACATTGTTTTGATAACCTTTTTATACTGGCCAATACTTCTTCTGAGGGTGATGTTTGGGTAAGCAAAGACAAACCTTGATCATATTGCATTATGATGAAAAGTGGAGAGTAAGCACCTCGATTGGCTTGAAATTTTGATTCCAAAGTAGATACCTCTTCTTTGCTCATATCATCATTGAAATTTACAATGATCGGTTGCAGTTTCCAATCGAATTCCGAAAAAAATTTCGCGAATCTGAAGAATGCGCCATCTATGCTGTTTGGCGGACTTTCTGCGGCATTTATGTACAAGGAAGCATTGATCAAGTTGATAACTATATCTGAAATGTGGGATTCATCATGCAGCTGTGCTCTGATCCAACGTTTTATAAGAGCTGTTCCTGGACCATAACTTGGATATGTAGACTGCACTCCTTTTAGAGCACTCACAACTTTAGGCATAATATGCCATCTCTCCAGTGCCTGGCTTTCTGTTGATTCAACAAATCTTGTAATACCATCTCCATCAGTAAATTTTTTAACTAAAGCAATTTCTTTGGGAGTATGGAAACGAAATCTGAATACTAGGCCATTATAGTATACGTCCATGAAATCTTCCATTATATTGGATAATATGTTATACTGATTCTGCAGTAACTTTGATACTGTTATAAAGAAGGACAATCTGACTCCTCTTAGAGCTTGTAGATTATTAGGCCATTTTGAACTATGTTCTAATTGTAGAATACATTGCAGTGGTTGAACATAACGAGGCAATGAACCAACTTTTTGGTTGATATTGGCAAATATCAAATTGTTTCCTTGAACTGATGTTGCATTTCCTTCCTGCAAATTGAAAAATAGAAACTTCTAGAGAATTGAATTAAATTTCAGTTCAGCAATGCAGGCCAGTATCGAAAAATATTTTATTGATCTCAATTTCAAATAGGAAATCTGGTTCAATTTGCGCATGTCTAAATATCTCTTATATTACATAACAAAGTATCATGTTGATGTTGAAGACTTGGCAACAATGTGCTGAATGCTGAGAACTGACAGGGCACCGCCCACAATTCGTGATACCGTATTGTCACGTTTACCCTCAAATTTCCTGTAGTGAGAATTAATATAATATTATTATTAACACAAATGTATTATAAGCAATAATCCACAACAGATGAGGGAATATTTTTTTTTGCAATTGCATTACCTCGTTGGTCCCAGCACTGGGACCAAACGCCCCATAAGTCGAAACTTGTGCGGGGTTAGGTAAGCATACAAGCACAAACATCCATGGCCTAACTAGGATTCGAACCTATGTCTCGGTGGGAGTCCCCATACGAACTCGGCCTTTGAGACTATTGATTTTTTAGGTCTAATTAGGAATATAACCAATACAAAAATTGAGGATTTATGAATTATTGAATAACTAAAATTCCTGTTCCCATTCATATATCAACACATGGTAACTTAATATGGTCTGCCCCTACTTACGTTAGTTATTACTCGCGGTAGATTTTTATCCCTTTGAAAATCACCGTGGCATTATTGTTGATTTTAGAACTTTGAAAGCGAACGAAAAATTCTAAAAAGATATGAAATTGAAAGGTATTTGAGTGATGATTATATTGAAGAAATAAAAAAAGTCCACTTGATCATCTATTGCAAGGTCATAAGAAATACTCCAGGTATTTTTGAACCAGTCAGGCAATCAATGACAAATTGATTGCAGTCGTGTATTTCATCAGAAGGTGGACATTTTGCTTATTAAGGTCGAAATTGTTCATTATTTACTTTTGGTTTTTATTTCATGTTGGCCATTGATAGTTTTTAGAAATGTTTTTTTTTCTCCAAAAAAGAAAGCTAGATAATATGACGAAAACACAAGAGATGAAAATGTTGTATTTTAGTTGAATAATCTAAAAAAATGAAAAAATCCAAAAAAGGCAGTTGTGTTATTTATTCTCTCAATATTGTTGGCTGTGGTGCCCAGTGAGACGCCACTGGACCTAATAATTTCAATCTAGTTAGGGCACAGTAGTTAGGGCTAAATAAGTAACAACTAACATAGATCATAGATTCCACTTTGCTTTGAGACTTCCACATGCACATAACGTTGACCGGTCATTGACCCTGTATATGTTTTGTATTTGTACATATTTCTACAACTATGGTAGCCAAGTGGGCTCTGTGCTAGGGTATTGATATTTTTTAATTTTTTTTATGATTTATTTTCCGTGCTCCCTGAAAAATGTACTCTGGAGACATTTACTGTTGAGGCCAATAGTGATTTGCTATTTCAATGATGTTTTTTTGAGGATCCACTGTGAGTTCACCCCTCAGCTGGTTATATTCAATGTTTGGAAGTCTCAAAGCAAAGTAAAAGGATAATATACTATGCCCATACTCACCTTAATAGGCATAATACTATTATCATATATACTTTCTGTTTTGTTTGTGTGAGGGTTTCCCTAACAGGTTCACATTGACATGAAATGAAAAATATCATGTTAGAACTTGCCTTAAAATTTGAAGGAATGGGTGGAAAAACTTCTGTGAAGCAAAAAGTATCAGAAACTCCTTGAACTCCTGTGATTTTAAGTGGAATCTGCAAAGACCTCAGGATCTTTCCCAGTTCATCAAGTGAATGAGTACCTTTGAGGCTTGTCTCTTCATTTGCACCAGATGCATAAGATGGCACTAACCTCTTGCTCAATAGGATATCTTCATAATGGTTGTAAAATAACATTCTGTATTCCAATCCCAGTTTTTCTGAGATGACATAATCAAAAATTGTCTTCATTATTTTCCTTTTGCCATGAATTGTATTGGTTGTGAAATACACAGCTACATTGGTACTACCATCCCTAAATCTCCTGTCACTTGAAAGGTGCCCCCAGAATTTCCTGAATTCTTCTGCCTGAGCAAGATCATTCAATGCAGGGCCCTTTTCAATCAAGCCAAATGCAGTCATAGGGTTCAAATTCACACCCATAAAGAATTTCTTCAAATTATTCTTATCCATTTCAATTATGGGAACTATGTTATTCACTCTTTTAGATACAGCTTTGTTCACTATGTTGAAAACTTGATAGAGTTTGAACAGTTCATCATAGCCTACATACATAGATCTTTTTATTTCTTCATTCCTGTAATTTTGTTTCAATGGAATTGATTTTGACAAATCCAATATTAAATCATATTGCAAGTAAAATGGCTGTTTTGTGAGAAAAAGTTGCTGGAATGAATTGTTTGTATTTTTATCTAGTAGCTCTAATGCTCTCTGGCATTCTACTTGAATTTTTCCAAATGCTTCCTTGGTTAAGAAGTTTGATGCATTGTAGCAGCCTGTTTTGTCCAAAATTAGGACAGCATCCTGGCTATGGACACTAAAAGTTGCATAGTCAATAGTAGTATCAGCTAGTATGACTGGATCTGTTATCAGATTGGTGGTTCCTAGGAAACTCCAGAAATTTCTAGCAACTTGATATGAACTCATGTACTGGTTGATTTTCTTTTTTTGGAACAAATATACAATTATATATAAAATCATGTTTTCAGTAAATGACCCAAAAGATACATTTAAATCCCATTGTTTGAGCCATATACAAAGTAGTTTAATACCTTCCTGAATGTTGGTCTGACCATTTAAAGTTTCATATATGAGGTCATTGTTAATTTTTAAAGCTACATCATGGGCTATAAGGTTGTTATAGTATACTGTTGGCTGTTCTTTCAGAATTTTTGCATCCAATTCTGTGTCATACAAGTCAAATTTCAGATTATTCATTGTTGGAAGAAATCTTTGTGGTTTGAAACATTCACTGGCTGGAGTCACATAAATTGAAATTATAGTTTTGTCACACCCTGTAGGTTCTAGCTTGATGATAGGTAAAAGATGATTTCCTTCATGAAAATCTATCTCCAAATTTGTTGCCAAATTGGAAGTTTTCAACTCTTCCACTATGTACAATAAATAATAGTAGCGTTTTATCAAATATCTGTTGTTCAAGAAGTCTTTTGCATGTAGAGTTTGCTTGGGCAGCACCAAATTATAGTTAGTATACAATGCAGGACCAGCAAGTGCATTATTTTCATATAGCCCAAATTTGTGATAGGAATGGGGTCTACAAAATTTCAAAGGTATGTCATGGTCAGTTTTGAAAATTCTTTGATATTCACCTAGCTTGTGGATCAATTTCACTCCATGCACACCTTTCAATATTTCATCTAACATACATTCATATGTTGGCAATGTATCTAAAAACATTTCAAAGATTCGACTCCACTCTGAGAGGCGTCTCTTCCTTTTGTGCTTGATTTCAACTTCAGAGATGAGTTCCTTGATTTGAAGTCGAAACAGGTTATTGTTGAATAGATTTTCAGTTTCTTTTAAGTTATTCAACTCTTCCACTGTGGGTAATTTGAATTGCGCGTTTTTGCATTTCTTCTTTATACTTCCTTTATTGGATATATCTGATCTTTTTCTCTTCTTTGAGCTGTCTGTAACTGCATTTACTACTTCAGTGTCACAAGATTGGGCACAATTGGTTTCAAACATTATATTCTTCATTTTTCAATAGTTGATATTCTATTTTAACTATCATTGATCGTACAAATACAAAACTAGGTAACTAAATACAAAATTCAGATAATTTCAGAAATCAACCAAAACATGTTTATTTTTGTTAGGTTATATTTATAAGAGCCGTTAGAGGTTAATTCTGTTTTCTTCTCTTTTTGTTTTTGATTACTACGGATTTTTGTTATTCAACCTCATTAGACCTATGTGCCTCAACCATTTGATGAATAATCCAGTGTTGCCACACGGCATGATATTTCTCGCATTACGGGAAATCCGAACGCATGTGGGACTTTAGGTAAGAGAAAAGAGAAATCATTTTCCGGGAAATATGCGGGAACTCATATCTTATCTCTCTCCATGATTATTTGAGGAATCATCATCAAAAATCTAAATGCTACGAAAGCATCCTGGTGTCTGCACGCACACTTTTCTTTTTTAAAAAGTCATTATATAATGACTTTTTTTCTCATTATAAAATTATAATGACTTTTTTCTCATTATGAATGACCATTTCATATTATGAAAAAAAAAACATTAACATGAGAAAAAAGCCTCTTATTTTCTCCTTGAAAAATAACGATGAGAAATCGGTTTTGCTTGGGAGACGATTCAATATACCTCTTCTCATTCATGCACTCCTGATACATAAAATTGGATTTCTGCTCGAAATTGGATTTAGCATTTTAGCTAGATGATTTTCAATAACTCTTCTCATTTCTGATGCTCTCCTCTGATACTTGAAATAATTGCATTTTCGATAGACGATTCAATACCCCTTCTCATTTCTGCTCTCCTGATACACATACATAAAATCAGATTTTTGCCTGCTCGAAATCGGATTTTGCATTTTCGATAGACGATTTAATACCTCCTCTCATTTCTGCTCTCCTAATACATATATGAAATTAGATTTTTGCATGGTCGAAATTGGATTTTGCATTTTCGATAGAACTCAATACATCTTCTCATTTCTGCTCTCCTCTAATACTTGAAATTAAATTCTTTCCTGCTCGAAATTAGATTCAACATTTTTGATAGACGATTCTACAATACCTCTTCAAATATCTGCTCTACTGCTAATACACATGAATAGCTATTTTTGCCTGTTTGAAATCCGGATTGGCATATTTTCGATAGACAACTGATCAATTCCTCCTATAATATTTTTGCTCTCCTGATACATACAATCAGATTTTTGCCTGCTTTAAATCGGCTTCTGCATTTTTTGATAGACGATTCAATTATATAAGTATACCTCTTCTCATTTATGCTGTTCTGATAGACGAATCTCCAATTTTGCCTATTTGGAACCCGGGGTTATTTGATAGACAACTCAATACCTCTTCTCATTTCTGCTTTTTGATACTTTCGAAATTAGATTTTTGTCTGCTAGAAATCTGATTTTGCATTTTTGATAGACGATTCGATACCTTTCATCATTTCTGCGCTCCTGATACACGAATCGCGATTTTTGCCTGTTTGAAATCCGGATTTGCATTTTCGATAGACAACTGATCAATGCCTCTTTGTAATATTTTTGCTCTCCTGATTTCGATAAACGATTCTATACCTTTTTTCATTTCTGCTCTCCTGATACACGAATCTCGATTTTTGCCTGTTCGAAAACTGGATTTGTATTTTCGATAGACAACTAGTTCGATACTTATTCTGCTCTCCTGAGACACAAATCGTGATTTTTGCCTGCTTGACACCTGTATTTGCATTTACGATGAACAACTGAATACATCTGCTCATTTCTGCTCTCATAATACATGAATTTAGAATTTTGCCTACTCGAAATCTGATTTTACATTTTCAATAGACGATTCTATATCTCTTTTCATTTCTGCTCTCCTGATACACGAATCTCGATTTTTGTCTATTTGAAACCCGGATCATCATATATTTGATAGACAACTCAATACCTCTTCTCATTTCTGCTTTTTGATACTTGAAATTAGATTTTTGTCTGCTAGAAATCTAACTTTGCATTTTTGATAGAAGATTCAATACATCTCATCATTTCTGCGCTCCTGATACATGAATCGCGATTTCTGCCTGTTTGAAATCCGGATTTGCATTTTCGGTAGACAACTGATCAATACCTCTTGTAATATCTTCCAGATGTATGAAATTAGATTTTTGCCTGCTCTAATAATGGGATTTTGCATTTTTGATAGACGATTCAATAAGTATATACATCTTCTCATTTATGCTGTCCTGATACACGAATCTCGATTTTTGCCTATTTGAAACCCGGATCATCATATATATTTGATAGACAACTCAATACCTCTTCTCATTTCTGCTTCGATACTTGGACTTAGATTTTTGTCAGCTATAAATCTGATTTTGCATTTTTGATAGAAGATTCAATACCTTCCATCATTTCTGCGCTCCTGATACACGAAACGCGATTTTTGCTTGTTTGAATTCCGGATTTCCATTTTCGGTAGACAACTGATCAATAACTCTTGTAATATCTTCCAGATGTATGAAATTAGATTTTTGCCTGCTCTAAATGGTATTTTGCATTTTTGATAGACGATTCAATAAGTATATACCTCTTCTCATTTATGCTGTCCTGATACATGAATCTCGATTTTTGCCTATTTGAAACACGGATCATCATATATATTCGATAGACAACTCAATACCTCTTCTCATTTCTGCTTCGATACTTGAACTTAGATTTTTGTCAGCTAGAAATCTGATTTTTCATTTTTGATAGACGATTCAATACCTTTCATCATTTCTGCGCTCCTGATACACGAAACGCGATTTTTGCTTGTTTGAATTCCGGATTTGCATTTTCGATAGACAACTGATCAATACCTCTTGTGAAATTTTTGCTCTCCTGATGCATAAAATTGAATTCTTGCCTGCTCGAAATTAGATTCTGCATTTTTGATGGACGATTCAACACCTCTTCAAATATCTGCTCTCCTGCTAATACACACGGATCGCTATTTTTGCCTGTTTGAAATCAGGATTTGCATTTTTGATAGACAACTGGATCAATATACCTCTCGTAATATTTTGCTCTCCTGATACATAAAATTAGATTTTTGCCTGCTCGCAATCGGATTTTGCATTTTTGATAGACGATTCAATAAGTATACCTCTTTTCATTTATGCTGTCCTGATACACGAATCTCGATTTATGCCTATTTGAAACCCGGATTATCATATATTTTGATAGACAACTCGATATATACCTCTTCCCATTTCTGCTTTGATACTCGAAATGAGATTTTTGTCAGCTAGAAATCTGATTTTGCATTTTTGATAGAAGATTCAATACCTTCCATCATTTCTGCGCTCCTGATACACGAAACGCGATTTTTGCTTGTTTGAATTCCGGATTTGCATTTTCGATAGACAACTGATCAATACCTCTTGTGGAATTTTTGCTCTCCTAATACATAAAATTAAATTCTTTACTGCTCGAAATCAGATTTTGCATTCTTGATAGACGATTCGACACCTCTTCAAATTGCCTGTTTGAAATCCGGATTTGCATTTCCGATAGACAACTGATCAATACCTCCTGTAATATTTTTGCTCTCCTGATACATACAATCAGATTTTTGCCTGCTCGGAATCGGCTTTTACATTTTTGATAAACGATTCAATAAGCATACCTCTTCTCAATTATGCTGCCCTGATACACGAATCTCGATTTTTGCCTATTTGAAACCCGGATTATCATATATTTGATAGAAAACTCATTATACTTCTTCTCATTTCTGCTTTGGTACTTGAAATTAGATTTTTGTCAGCTAGAAATCTGATTTTGCATTTTTGATAGAAGATTCAATACCTTTCATCATTTCTGCGCTCCTGAAGTCCTGATACACGAATCGCGATTTTTGCCTGTTTTAAATCCGGATTTGATTTTTTGATAGGCAACTGATGAGTTACCTTTCATTTAAAATCATCTCCTGATACTTGAAATTGGATGTTTGCCTGCTCGAAATAAGATTTTGCAATTTAGATACTTAAGATAAGTACCTTTTTTTTCTGCGTTCTTGAACATCTCGATCGTCTTTGAAATAGTGCGGAATGACTGGGAGGTTGTTTTTGATTTCAAACTAAAAGGTATAAAAATAAGAGATAACTCACTATTTCATGATGAATTTTTATTAAAAACCAATAAAAAATATGATCAAATTTGACAAAACAGCAAGAGTTAATTGAAGAAAAGCATAAGAGACATATAGTATCCTCTCAAATGGCGTTCAAATTGTTCAAATTTTAGCTTCAAGACAAGAGAATATTAAGTATTAGTAAGTACTGAATATTAAATATTTCTTTTTAATTTTTTTCTTTTTTTCTTGATAATTTGAACACCATTCAGGGAAGAACATTACATAGGATGAGAAAAAAAAAAGGATTTGAACCAGTCTTTCCAATAATAAAACTACAAAAAATGAGAGCAACACAATAAACAAAACAAATGAGTATTATCAACTGTGCATTCAAAAGTGACATAAAAATTTATATTTTATTTATAAATAAGTTTCAAAATATGCATTTGTATCTTGTGATGTTATCTATTCTTGTCCGCAGATCACATAAAAAAGTACTGTCTGTAGGTTAATCAAAGAGGTGAAATATTAATTTATCTAGATTTCTGGGATTGTCTCTCCTCCTCTCTAAATAAATAAAAATATTAGTATCTTCCTATTATTTCGATATCGGGTAAGGACAAATCAGGTTTCCAATAGGAAAATTTCAAGTGTAGTGATATTTTGGGACAAATCATTTGATGAGGAATAACTAGATCTAATTCAGGCAGATGACCAGAACTCGTAAGATATTGACTAATATAAAAATGTGTAAACCATTAGATTAGTCAATCAATTATCATCAAAGATTAAGATTTTTTCATCCAGATACCAGATTTACAAAAAAATATTGTAGCATTTCAACGAAAAAATTAAGAGGTGGGTAAATACAAGAAAGGCCCAAAGAATCAGTTTCTGGTAATAACATGACTGTTCTGTTTTTAGTATGCTTTTAATCTCAAACCAATATTCTCAGGAAGTGATTGGCAGATAGATTATCGAACTGGTACTAATTATAAGGGTGAGTAGTTTATTTAGCAGTAAGTACAGTAGAAAGCGGTGGGCGATTCTTAAATCAATAGAAATTATAGAATTAAATAATCCCTAAAATGAACTAGCATAAATATCTCTTCAATGTTGTAAGTAACTCATAATGAAAATTCAAATTGAAAAAAACATTCTCACCATTGGGGAAATAATAAAAGTTGATGATGAACATACAGAACTATACTTCATATCAAATTTGACACACATATAGTAAGAAAAATGAAAATCCGGAGATGATGGGTTGAGACACAGTATATTATCATTACACAATGATAATATACCGTGGTTGAGATGAATTTTCTCTAACAATTTCTTTGTCCTTCAAAGATAGTGCTATGCTAGTTTTGTTCATTGTAACTTAAAGCAAGATTTTTCACAGCTACACCAACATTGGTGAAAATATGAAATGAACCCTTTGGGTCCAACGCACAAAAACCCTAACTGAAATTAGTAAGGATCAGATTCAGCCAGAAATCTTCCAGAATTCCTGAATTGTATTTTTTCTGTAGAAGTGTAAATTGTTATAAAAGTAGATCCTACACAGCAAAATTGAAATTCTGTTGATATTCGAAAAACCCTGCATTGGGACTTATAACATTATTTAATAATTTTCATTAATTTCATTTTTGGTGGAAACCTGCTTCCAAGCATTCTAGATTGAAATCATCTGTTATATTCGAGGTCTGAAAAGTATTCTAAAAAGCCAGGGATCATTATTATTTTCTCGGAGAACTACTCACAGTAGGGTAGCCCCTTCAGAACTTATAATAGATATTGGAAACATATAATTTTCGCCGGACGATAATAACAGTCGGATAATAAATTACCTAGAGATCAGAATTAAAACCTTGTTCACTGTATTTATAAATATAAATATAGTTTGGAAGCCTAAGAGGATTTGATCAATGATTATTGAATTTTTATTACTCACAATTTCAAATTGATATTAGGTTTGTTGTAACATTTGTGTCTTTGTCAATTAGAATTCAAAAAGAACGATTACACTGTATTCTATTTTTGAAGAGCATGCAGCAAAACCTTGAACGATTTTGAAATGATTCAAAAGTAATGACCAATGATGATGAAAATTTGTTCAGGCATCCTTCCAACTAAAGCTAATTGTGTATCATTTTGAAATCAGAAGTAACATAATTCGGATGTAAAAATAAAATTTCCAACGGGCAAATACGTAAATATCAAAATATCATATAACCTACAAAACTAATTAATATCACTATATAGATGTGAGGAAAAATATAACTCTATAATTTTCCGAGATAACTCAGTGTGCGAGTATTCAGGGAGTTTAAGTGGTGCATTCTTCTTGTCGTCTACAAGTGACGTCTTTTAAGATTTGCATGATCTTGATCTACTGTTGATACAGATAGAGCTTCGTCTATCAACTCTGGTCCGATCTGACCAGCAAATTCGTCGGAAACGCCATCCTTCTCGGCATTTGTCTGGCTCTCAGAAGCACTTCGGAGCTCAGAAGCTTTCGGAGATCGCGGGGTTTCATAGGCACTAACGGAACTTGGGTTTCTAGTATGGCGACCACCATCATGGGGTTTTTCTTCAAACACTGAAACAACAATGTTTCCATACAAATGAGTGCCTACATAATTATTCGATGTTCTTCACGCTACATATACAGGGTGTATCTTAAGTACGTGTATATTTTTGTTTTTTGTTAATAAATTTCAAAATAATTGTGATATTGGAATGAAATTTGGTATCTAGGGGTATTTTTGTAATGACAATATCAAATTTTAGGTAATTTTGTCTCTTTCGTGGGGGTGGCGCCAGCTACATGTCATCTGAGTCTTTTGAAAAGTCATAACTTTTTTGTGCGTACCTGTATAACGTGTTATAGTAGAAAAATGGATTTCAAGAACACTTTTGTGTAAAAAATATATTTTTGGTAAAGGTCGCTGAAGCAACTGATTTCGAGTTATTGGGATTTGAAATAATCAATGCAAGTAATTTGGAATGACAAGAAGGTGGAATTCAAAATTGATTTATTAAGTAACAGAAATTATTTTTCTTCAATTTCATTAGAAAATAGGAATCGGGTGTTATAACCATTTAATACTAATAATGATAAGAGTAATCAAAGATGAAACACACTCAGAATTATATTCTTTATGGAAAAATAATAAAAACATCCGTTCAATAGATATGATATGATCGTAAAAAATTATTACATTGAGCAAAATAAGAGAATGAGGGTCATTTTATGATTTCCTCGTTCAGTTTCGTGGTCATACCTATAAAGATTTCAAAATTCAGATCCTCATATTTGAACAGAAGGCGATGTATTGATTTCCTTTCCAGATTCTATGGAAACACGACAGGTACCCTTACGAGGAGAGAATTTCAACTTGGCGTTTATAACCCTCTCTGCAAAGAAGGTAAGCTCCTGACGAGTTTGGTATATAGTGCAGATATATGGTTGGTGACTTGATAAATTACAAAAATATATTGCTTTTCAGTTAGTTGAAAGTTGAAAACATTATTCTGACTGTTACTCACACTTATCCAAGCTGATGATTGACCCCACGATCTCGTTCGCCGTGATCCCCTTGTCGTCGTCCAGCTGCCCACGGCGTCCCACCAGCCACCAGTCGACCAAAAAGATGCCGACGGCGAGCGTCTTGATGCCGGCGCACAGGCCGACGTACCGGTACCGGAACTGCTCGATGTCGTAGAGCAGGCAGCGGCCGCCCCTTTCGGAGCCGCATGCGCTTTTCCACAGCAGGCACGTCGAGTCGATGAGGTTGCCGAAGAGGATCGGCGCCGGGATGTAGCCGAATAGCCGGAAGATGACGAACTGCATGCCGAGCGCGAACGATCGCTCCTCCTCGTTCACGGACCTGGAAGACGAGAAGTGAAGTTTATTAAGTAGATTGGTAAGTCCCGTTTGATGATAGACCAAAGGCGGACTGACCGGTACGCTTAGTATGCTGAAGCTTAGGGCCCCGACCCTTGTGGGGGCCCCGCATATAATTTGTTTGTACAAATGAAATAATGACAAAAATAAATCCGAGCAATACTTTTTTATATAGCGGCAGCGGCAACATTGCAAGTTGATGAAGAATGTTAAAAATTATATAGAGGGTCCCGCAGATTTCATTGCTATTTCCTAAACAGAAAAGATAGAAAATTGATCAAATTAGACCAAAGTCGCGTAGTTTGAACGTCTTCAATACCAATGCCATTACTGAGAGAAATCAGCTGTTTTGTTTTCCCTAAATATTAGCTGAATAGGAACAAAATCAATGGTTTTCAGTTTTTTCGAAATATTTCAGGAACGGCTGGAATTTTTCGAGTTTGCAAAACGGCATGTTGAAAATGTTTGAATTACGCAACTTTGCAACTAATATCATCAAAACTGTCTATCTCCTCTACTGTTTAGGAGACACCTAGCAATACTGTCCCTATGAAATCGACGGGTCCTTGTACAATGAAGGAATAATGAACGGAGGTATTTTTCAATTGAAATTAGTGCTTTGAACTTTTTTTCCACACTACCAGTGACCAGTTTCGAAGCAGGGCACTCATTTTCAAAATTAACAGTAATTGATAGTTATTTCACCAGCTAGTGTATTAATGAGGGTGATTAATGTTCGAGATCATTAATCGCCTTTTAATATACGAGTTCGTTACAAAATTTCTCGGTCGGCTATATTTCTCATTTCTCCTACAATGAAGAAAACTTGGGTCGCGAATTCATCATTTATTCGGAAACTACTAAGAATCACCCAGTAGGCTTGTTACTGACATTAGTGACTTTGACATTTGTCGAAATGATCAACATAGAAAATAAATTCCTTGTGTTAGAAAACAGGCATTAAAATCGTTTCAGAAACTTGGAAAGGCGAACCCGTTAACGGAAAATCTTCGATGAAATCCATATTTTCGATTTAAATGTAGATTCCGTAAGTTATAGCATAAACAATGAATGCACGTGGTGTATGTTTGGTTGCCTATGAAACAATCGTGCATTAATAGACAAATCGATCATTAATAGGGGGTCATTAATGAACGGTTTCATAAACATTAAAGCTTACTCGTTAATACGAGGTCGACGGAAAAACCTAATAAAGAACTGTATTGCTGAAGATAATATTACCACCTTTGGGAATGCTTTCGATCGAAAGTGATTTGACGAACAGTTTGAAAATTATGATGGTGCAATGAAATGATTCACAGATTTGAAAATCAGAAATCAGGAATCGTAATATGTTTCTCCTAGTAATTTCGTTACGGTTTAGAAACTGTATGAACTCGAAAACATTTTATTTTGTAGGTATCTGATCCTAGTCAGTGTTATAGTTACGGTTTTTTCATTTTATGTGTTTTTTTTTGTTTCGTATATCCTATAGATTGAAGATACTACATTTTTATCAACGAATGTCTTTTTTTTGCTTTTTCATGTCCTTTTTGTGTTCATTTGTATTTGGGAAGAAAATATCACTTCTGCTTTTATTCAGATAGGTAGGGTCCCTTGATGGAAATTGACGTTAAAAGGCCTGTTCGTTTGTATTGCTAAACTGGCTAAAGTTGATCTTTTTCCCATAGTTGTCTCTGTTCATGCCATGATGTAAACAAAGAAAGTAATAGACAAAAATCAAGTTTAGCAGGTTGAGCAAGCACAAACCAACAGGCCCAAAGTCATCTCAACAGGATACGGATACAGATCATAGCTGCATTCTTTTTAATTGATCTAGAGACTTTAGTTTTGTCTACTGGCATCCCTGACATAGCTGTCACGTCACGTCCATGGGCGCTACAGAAAATCATTCAATATTTTAATAATTGGTATGTACAGGGTATGGGGATCGAGTTTAGTGATTATGATCCGATTCTATCCAAAATTGGTATCTGGGAGATAATGATTGTTTCGTGAAAATTGCCGAGTATAAAATGAATAGTATCTTGAAAAACAAAAAAAACACGTTTTTATGAATAGCTGAACTGAAAAGAAGTAGAAAATAAAATAAATTAATTATTGTGCTGGTAAATATTCAACTAAAAGAATATTTTCTAGAAATATTGTGCATAGCAAAACAACGTTTGCCAAGTCAGCTAGTAATCTAGTAATGATATTTATTAGTCGTTCCCAATACTCTTTGTATATTGTTGAAAAAAGAAAATATTGAAAGTGTCAAATGAGTTCAAATGTCAAAAATCTGATAGGTATTTTGAGCCGATATACCACTCGATGCGTCTAGAAATCTCAGAGTAGCTACTCCTTTGATTTATTTCCACTACGTGTGACCAATATTTTTAAAACAAAAATTGTTTGCCTGTAGTCACTGTGGTGAATTATTTTTTGGTAATGAAAAGGGTTCGATATCTTCAGTACATATTGTATGTTTAGTTCTTCCATAATCACGAGATTTTTGGAAAAAATGTATTTTCAGCCTATGTAAAATTCTTCCATATGGTTAGTGATTTTCGAGAAAAAAATAGCACCTGTATACAAAATATCTCCCCCCCCCCGTTCAATTTAATTATCATCATTAGTCATAGATAAATCATTTTTTGTTCGGAAATTAATCGGTTTTAGCAGCATGATTCACCTTATTAGTCATTCATTCGTGACCAGGTGGCAAATCAGTCTTATATTAGATGTCATCACGTACGGTTGAATTTCGTGATCGACATCGAAAATAACGCGAAAGAAATTATTTATCGTTCCAAACTGAGTGTTCCCTAGAAACTGAGTGATCGTATTGATTCGTATATAGTGTGTTTGTATTCCTCATTCGATTCAATAATAATAATATCAATAAGATCGTGTGTTGTTCTAGTGTTTCGTGTTGTTTCATCAAAGCCTCACCTTTTTCACGCTGGTGAGTCCAGAGAATTTCTCTCAATTTTTCCTCATATTTCTCTGTATCCATTTAACTTTATTACCCTATACAGGGTATGTCACTACGAGCTTACACTATCTTTAAATCGGGAATCAGTCGGGAGAAATCCATGAAAATGTGCATGCTTATATTTTGGTATACGATCTTTTCATTTAAGATATGTTCGACAATGCAGTGTTGCCGCTTCTACTAGAGAGTAGTACCAACATTGATATTTCGAACGGAACACCCTGTATTTTATCGCATTTTAAGTTTCTTCCTGAAGAGCTGATTTCGTCGATATATCATACTTGGGGTTTATCGAAAATGATTACAGAGATATAAGGTGTTCAAAATCGATATTTGTCAACTTTAGGATTTTTTTGTGTCGAAAATATTCATTATAGGTCAAAACGGCCCTATCTCAACTTTTGTTTCACTATTTACTGATATTTAATCAGAACAGATACAGGGTGGTTCAATATTAAGAAATCTGAACACATGCATATTTTCATGGATTTCTCCCGACTGATTCTCGATATAGAGATAGTGTAAGCTCGTCGTGACATACCCTGTATGTTTCGTACCGTTTGTTGTATTTTCTCCGATCAAGGAATACTTTCTTCTGATTTTCGTGCTTCCTGTTCGAAACTATATCTTCTAGGAATTTACCATCTTCAATAACTGTGATACAGAACGTAATCTTGATTTTGGCAAAATCTTCATCTATGGTCAGGTCATAACTTTTGAACCACTGTATAATCGATTCATACTTGGTAGGTATATTCAACTCATATTTCTCATCAAAACTAAATATGAATCGAATTTAGAATCCAGATCCGTCTTCAGGCAAAACAAAAAAAATCTTTTTTTTTTTCAACAGTGCGCATCCAATTTGAAAAACAGTATTTTTATTGAACTCGTTATTAAAAAATCCAATTTTATCACAAAAAAATAACCAGTCGTCAAATTTCAACTTAATTAGAGCCTAATTAGGTAAACTTTCGATGGATCTCGTTCCATAGAACAATTTGTCAATTATTTCAGATATTTCCGAGTGCTCATTAAATTTTCACACACACAAATCAATTGAGTATTTTACACTTGACTTTTTGTACGTAGATTCATATTCCGAAATTATTTATTTTAGTATTGTCAGTAATTTTATATACATATACAGGGTGTCCCATAAGTAATGGATCAAAAGAAGTGGGGTGGTAGGGGGTCATTTGCAATCAAACTAACGGTATATGTGTGATTATCAAATTGTTGATGGTTCAGAAGTTATTAAATTTTTTTGAAAAACGCGACCCATTTGGAAGAAATTAATAACAAAAAGGCTGTTTTGAATATCCCCATAATATGTTATACCACTTCGGAATCTATATTAAATGGGCAACTTTTTATTATAATTGGTTATCTTAAAAATCAGCTTGAATACTTCATTCAATGACAAAACTCAAGGAGAACAACATTTTTCTCAGATAATTGATAAGAAGTGACACATGTCATAAAACTATTTCTGCAGAAAGGTGCATCATTGTGGATACAATTTGTGAAAGAAAAAATCACAAATGTGACATAGTTTTATTGTTATTAATTATTCTTATAAAAATGAAAAAAAAATTATAACTTTTGAACCATCAATAATTGGATAACCACATATACGGTTAGTTTGATTGGAAATGACCCCCCCTGTATATTCTACGTCTCCGAAGTTTTTGTGATTGTTTAACACCGGAGTTCTTTCATTTCATTTATTTTTTTATACCTATCCATTTTGATTATTTTGTATATAAATATTTTACACTCTCGAATTTTTGTACCTACTTAGTTTTATATTCCAAAATTATTAATCTTAGTATTTTCAATAATAGCTCGTCAAACGAAATTCATACTTTTTCACCACGTACAAGCAGCATTTGCTGCTTCTGTGCGCTTTCTAATGTTTATTCACCTAATGTTAACTTGCTATCATTATTTCTTCCATTGTATTCTGATTCTGTCGGAATAAA